ACACAAGCGACTCGTATGTCTCGTGTGGTACTTGCACGTCCTGTCGTGGCGTGCGGATTAGTAGAGAGATAAATAGATATGCAAACGTGAATTTCCGCACCAACTTGACCGCACCAGTGCACCAATCAAAGACATAAAGATGGTCCGGAAGTGCATCGAGTCTGTGTTCAAAGCAGCTGATAGCGAGGGCAAGATGAGTGCCTACGATTGCAATCCTACCAAGTGCATCCGGCGAGTCTTGGACAAAGAGCACGGGTAGCTGGGCAAGGGGGTGTGGTTTTCCAGTGGAGAATTGGCGCAGGTGAATTTCGTAGATGTTAACCTCTGCCTGCAAGGGGTGCTGTTTCCTATGAGGATTACAGTAAGTCAACGACGAGAAAACAAGAGAGGGAACGCACGAAGTAATTATGGCGATGAGGTCATGCTCGTCGAGGCTCAGCCCAAAATTGGTGATGGTGTGGTCCATGTCGATGCGTGACCACTGCACCGGATCGTCCTTGGTAGATGGTAGTCTGAAGTAATGTATCGAGTTTTCAATCCCATTGCCTAGCACGTAGACGCCGCCCGTCAGATCCAAATAGCTCGAAGCTTCGTGCTCCACCTTCACTGTCCTGCACCAGTCAAAACTCAGCCCTGCCCAGCCTTCCTCGCGATTCTTCAGGAGCCCAAATTTGGTCGACACATCGAGTTTGCTGGACGGATTATCCGCGAGTAACGCAGCCTGGGTGGCGATATGGTACTGTACAGTCTGGATCTTCGTGTAGGAGTGGAAGAGCTTATTGACCCGGGCGGCAGAGGCAATATCGCGAAGGTCAAGGTAGCAGAGGATAGAGACAAGGATCTCTGGCGGAAATCTCAATGACATACTGGGACCGGGGTCGTGCCGCATGTGGACCGTGGTGTCACTGTGTGTGAAAGTCACAAACGACTGCGTGGCAGCAAAATGATAAGATAAGATCAGTGGCAAATCACAAGCACAAAGTCCACCGCTACAACAGCTACCTTGACCGCGTCCAGTTCCCCGGGCTCGAGCACCTCAGCACCCAGTTCGTCGATGAAGACCGCCTTACACGCAAGTGGGAAAGGCGCCAGCTCATGGCGCTCCTCGAGCGATCGCAGTGCCAGCTCCGCGTTCTCCACACCACGGCGAATATCAGCTCCGAGCAGATCGAGTAGTTGCTTGCCGAGGTACCGTCGCTTGAGGAGCTGGACGTGCTCTAGGGCGAGTGCATCTCCGCGTCGACGTTGCGGCTCATGAACGGCAAATACATTGCCCTTAATCTGCAGACAATTAAGTGTGCGATTGAGCCGACCATGCTCTCTGACTTCCTCGACATGCTCGATTGTCGGCCCCCGTGCAAGTTGCGCGCGGGAATCAGGGAGGCCGTGGTGAGCTGCTCTAAGGCAACTGAGGAGTACCGCGCGATACACGAGCGGCTGGAGGAATTTCCGAGTACAGGAAGGAAGGTCATCGTCAGAGACCATTGAAGTACTACCACAGGGTGATGTTGACACCCGCGTCTCCGATATTCAAATGATGGGCCGGTGTAAATGTCTGTATTTGATCTGTACGATTACGATGCCTAGTATCTCTAAATCTCCTCCACTTGTATTTTATCTGTGTGGATATCCAACTGTCCGAGTTCAATTCTAAGTCACTCATCCGTGCCGGTATGGCTGGACTTTAACTGCAAGATGAATACCCGAACTTCAATAGAAAAGGCTACATAAAAAAAGAATAAGCTCACGCGAATTTTTCAGGTCTAACAAGAGGCTTGAGGCAGTAAAGAACTGATTATCCCTTGCGCGGCGTACCCCCCGTCATAGACACGCAAACGAGACCCAGAAAATTGACATAGATCAGGCTGAACTCGATATCTGCGTTCACAATCGCTCACTTTGGCAGTAGTAGCAGGGTGTAGATCACGCGATGACTCACGATCCAACAGGCGGTCAACCCTATACACCATGCTGGAAAGCCCTCTGTTACGCCGTTGTCTTCGAGTCGCTGTGTGTTGCTTGGGACCACCGCGGTTCGCGTGCTTGATGGCGATCTTCCTCTGCTTGAAAGTTGAAAATCTCTGTTGTGTAAGGATTCGATGCCGCGCATTCGTCTACAAAACCAGAGAGGCTGTTGAACGCCAATCCATTGGAAGAGAAGGAGCAGGCGAGGCTGAAATTCGACGTCTGCAGGGCACAAAGTTCCGCCTCGTGCCCTCGGGCTTGCACGATGCAAGTGTCTTTTACTGACGACACAGGATAGCCGCGCTAAGCCTACGAACGTTGGCACCCGACGAGCAGTAGTTTTCGTCGTCTAGTCTCCGTAGCGAACATCTATCTTTGCGCAGGAACATACCAATAATTCAGGCAGCAATGGGCGTCTTGATGACAGCGCTCGCGGCTCGACACGAGCGAGATTACTGCACTTTGGTTCGGCCTCGAGCAGTAGTCGACGATGTTCGAATGAACGAAGCGGTTGCCGCCCTCGTAGGTCCCACTATTGGTGCCGAGCGAGAGGCTGTTGTATGTTGTCTGATGTTGTCGAGGCCATTCAACGCGCATCCAGACTTGTAGAGCGTGACCGCCATGTTGTATCCATCGTCCTGTAGACACAAACCCAAGTCAATTTAAAAGGATACAACTCGATGGAAACAGAGCTCAAGGTGACGCACCTTTGTAGGCAGCGCCTTGCTAAGACATCCGAAAGCGATGGCGTAGCCAGATCTTCTCCTGATTTCTCGAGTTCAGAACTTCCAGCATGCGTGCGCCTGGGGTGACGCTCAAGAATGAGAGCAAGGCAGTCAGTGGTGGAGGGTGTTGATGGTGCTGGTCCAGGTAAAACCTCCAACATTGCTTGCAGCTTGACGACGCTATACAAAGAGATTTGGAGGCCGCCGAAGGACTAATGGCAGCAAAGAAGGAGTCTAAGTATACGAGACCGTAGAAGACGACCTCGCAAGTCGCAAGTTCAACGCCTTGCGGAGGCGCTGGCATTGGGCAATGGGAAGGGAACCAGAAACGCATCGCCCAGCTCTAATTTATGTAATCGCGATCAAACCGTTCCACGTTCCACAGAAACCAATTTCGTACAATTCGTCTGTAAGTGCTGAGCGCAAAAAAAGAAACCAGAATGAAAAGGGGAATGGATTATGGAACATGCATATGACAGGCCTAGGAAGGTTGAGGACTAAAAATAGTCCCCGTCCACTTTGTTACACTGAAGGGGAATCGAACCCCTGCCGCTTGCTTCTCAACGGACTCAATCCTATGGAAGGCAAGCATGATAACCACTTCACCATCAGTGTCATGACTGGTAAGCAAATCAGTGGAATATGATTTGGAACCTAATCTGTAGCGCGCGGCTTTTCTCAGTCTGCCTCATGATCTTAAGCTTCAAGCTCTACTCACTGCGGGCATTGGCTGTTACCTTCGACAATCAATTCGGAGATATTGTGTGACTTCCCGTGTTCACCAGCCACGTTTCAAACACACACGACACGAAAGAGAACTCGAAATCGGAGAAGAAAGAGGGAAATCAGTCATTGCATCGCATGCGCGCCACACACGCCTGCATCTAAAACATACATACACTAATGTACCGTAAAGGAACACACAGCAGGCTTCAGTTATAAGGTGGATGGGGGCAGGGGTGAGGAGTGTATGGACTGAATACGTACACTGTCAAATGGTACAGGTACAAATTTGAAAAAGAACGATACAGCGGAAATACGGAGAGTATGCGCAGTATGTGCAGTATGTTACGCCTTGGAACTTGAAGGTGGGTTTGTGGGTTTGGGTCTGGGGTCTGCGGAGGATGGAAGGAGGCTTTCATTCGTGTTTGGACTCGTGGTGGAAGTGGCAGTGGAGGGGTGGGTAGGAGGAGGAGGAGGAAGAATGTAAAGGGTTGGAGAACTCGGGTATGATCGTATCTCGTGTCGACGGTCGTATATCGTATTTCATGGCACTGGGGCAAAGGGACAGGAGAGTCGAAGCAATTGAGTAAGGAGGGTGTCACTGCGCCGCAGGGGTTTCCTTGGAAGTTCGTGCTTGAGCTTAGGAGACGGGTGTGACGAGGGGGGTAGCGAGGAAAGACAGGCTGAGGAGGATTCGATGGCTTTCGGAGCTGGAGCCGAGCAGCGGTGGACATGCGGAAGCGGAAGTGCAGGTAAAGCTTGAGCGGGAACCGATCGGAGTCGGGGCGTGTTCCAGGGCGAGACGATGAATGCGGCCGCATGCTCTATGTGTGCGGAGGCTGAGGCAGAGAAGGAGCCGAGGAAGAGGAAGAAAGGCCGGAAAAGAGGAAGACGCGAGAAAGAAGGTGTAAGTAATATGACACAGGAAAAGATAAGTAAAATCGCAAAGGAACAGGCGCGAAGGGAAAAGCAGGGGATGCGAGTTCAACGAACACAATGGAAGTAGTACGCAAACAAAATAAAGAAGGAGAGGGCCAGAAAGTGGAAAGGAACAAAGCCCATAAAAAAGCCTCAGCTCCGCCTCTGATTCTCCTTCTCCTTCGCGCTAGGCGGGACGGGCGCCGTCCCCAGCCTCGGTACCTGTCCCTGCTTCGCTGCGGGGTCTCCCAGGATAAGCGTTGCCTCCTGGTCCTCAGCGATACGCTCCACAGGCTTCATCGCGTCCTTCTCACTCTGCGTCAGCGCCGGCGCCTCCGCCGTGATCGTCCTGCTCCTATCCCTCTCCCGCTGCTTCTCCTCCTCCTTTTCCCGCTGCTTCTCCACAGACCTCTGGCTCTCCACCCGCAATACCTGTGGCGGTGCCGGTATCGCAGTCGCCGGCGTCGCACGGGACGCACCCCCCCCTGCGCGACGCTCGATCTCCTCGATTTCAGCCCGGCGAATGACATCGATCTCGCCCTGGACGACAACGCCGTCAAGCCAGCGGTGGTGTATGAGGTCGGCGGCCTTGGCGCGCTTGTCGGGGTGCAGCCGGAGCATGGGCGTGAGGAAGTC